TTGCTGGCTGGAGAGGACAAGAAAAGGCTAAAGAACAGAGAGATAGAAACAGAGGGAAAGAGATGGACTCTCCTGCTTTAGGTTCTGTCCCCATCCATTATTGGCTTCATCCCCACCCGCAGCCAGAATGAAGTCCCTGACAAGTTACCTTTGCCTGGAAATGGTTTGGAGAGCACTGTTTCCCTGCCCTTTCCTTAGAAGAATGTCTGCATTCTAGCCACCTGTATTTTTGTACTACTTCCACATTTTGGAGATTAGCATCTTGGCCTTGTTTTCATAATATGAGTAGACAAGTATAGTGTTAGTAACTGCACTATGGCTGTCATCTTAAAATGTCATTTTGCAGACAGAAACAGAAAGCTATTGGGAAAAGGAGGAGGCAACCATCAGAAAAGCAGAATGGCAAAGATGTATAGATGTTTTGTGCCATCCATTTGCTCCTGACTCCTAGTGACCCTAAAAATTAATGATTTTGAAAATATCTCATCATTCATATCTCTGCTCAGTTTTGCAAACTAAGATCTGTGAGTTCCTTTACTGAATCAATCCATCAGATTTTCTTTTCATGTCTTTGCACCTCACAAACTGAATGCCCTTTTGAAATTGATCCAATAACTTCATGAAGAACAGGGCTACTCACACTTGGCCTTTGTCCTCCTATAGTAGGTAATGAAGTCCTCTCAGACTTGGGAGTCTCATCTTCCAGCACTGTCTCTATCACACATGTTTGAATCATCCTCACAAGTAGTGTGAGTGATCACAGCAGGAGTCCAAAGTAGAACGTGGTACATTAAAAGCTCTCGATTACAATAGTACACTTCAGTTAGATTCAGCTAAACTACTTCATCAATGAACACAGACATTGCAACATGCTGTTCTTGTTGTTTATAGGAAAAGACAGCACCCCTTCACACATTTTGAATTGTGATAGTTCTACTTTAATAAATGGTGACTAGATTTGGAGATACTTTTGTAGCATTCATCAGTCTGTGTGCCACAGGTAGCTTTTTCCATCAAAATGGACGGAATAATTTTTATTAAGCTATATAAGGGTTTTTCTCAGCATTCTTGTTACTTTGTACTTTGAAATGAAAACAAAACATGAAACATGCACACATAGTGGAAAAAATGGCTGTATCCAACTGTAACTTTTCCACGGTGGATAGTGAGCATCTTGGAAAATGAAATTGCTGTTCTGAATTTGATACCCCAGTTGGTAACCAGACATTTTCAGAGCAAATATATGGCTTGATGATTGTGCAACTTACAAGCCTGCAAGACAACAAAGTTTGCTTATAATGTTGTCCCCTCTTCTTGTATGCCAGTCACAAAGGTGTTTTCGAACAGCTTTCCAATCTTGTTATTTGCTCAGGTGTTTTGTTTTTTCTCTCCCTAAAATATGCAGGATCCTGCTGGGGTATTGAATAACAATTTAACAGCTTGATGGATGAGTTTTTCTTCATTGTTTTCTTTCACCACATGCAGGCACAAGGACATATGCAGCCAATATAAGGAAGTCTTCCCTCCCCCCCCCCCCAGTATGACTGCCCATGGTTTTAAATGCTTCTGCCACATTGATCCCTGGTGGAGACTTACTATTTTTAATAGAGATTTGCAGTCAGGCTTTCTGTCAAATACAATTATTGTAAAATTCTACAAGAACACTTTGTTGGGTGTGTGTGGACAGAATACTGAATGTTTTACCTGGGTCTATTAATGCTTCTTCCAGACGACAACGATATCCTTCCTTTCCTTCTGTGTTACTTCAGATACAGGAGTTGAAATTTCCCCACATGTCAACTATTAACTGCTCATTTTAGTGTACAAGATTTTTAATTATTTATTACCATAACTATATTACCATAACAATGAGAATGAACTGTATAACTATTGGATTTTGAATTATAATTGCACTGGAAAAAAATGAGAAAAGGAAAAAGGAGAGAGAAATATGTAGGATATATGAATCTGGGTGTGTGTATTAATGTAAACTGACAATGTGTAAAAACACACATACATGTGCACATTTGAAAACACTGGCCTGGAGTTGGCATCTGTAAAACTCACATTCATGTGTAGCTAAAGTAGTAAAATCTTCTGACCATTGTACAATAGATTGGGTTTATTTCTCTTTCTAACTTCTGAATGTGAGTCTTTTAAGCAATAGTACGACTAAGAGATGATCAAACCACATTGATCACCATTTAAATTCCATCTCACAACAATATAATTTAAAAATAGATATATGTCTACAAATATCAAAGATTTTTCTAATAAAAAAGCAATATGCTTCAACATATCCAGCCAAGAAGGAGCTACCACTGGACATGGGCATATCATATGCCATATGGAAATGTTATCTGTATTATATTGAGATCTAATATTTCAGTTTCCATTACAACTTGCATAGTAGCTAAAGAGAAAGTTAGTAATTAAAAGGACAATGAAAAATAGACAAATTATCCCTTTGGGTAGGAGAAAAGCTTTTTGGAAGGGGAAGTGGTTCTAAAAATTCTACCGTGGTTCTATTATTACAGTCTCTGATGTTATTAAAAATCCATTTATAGTTAGTTAAAAGAAAGATGAGCATAAGATGAGCAAGATAACAGGATGGTACGAGATGGAGAGGAAAGGTGTTTTTTTTATGTGTCAGCTGGGCAAGGAGCTATATGATCAGATCACAACAATTACTATTTTGGGATAGTGTTGACATCAAAGCACTCGGGAAGGCATTCCATCTGTCTTTAAACTTGGGTAAGATACTCCTTTGTATATATGTCACTCACTTGCAAGATGTCACTTCTAAAAGTTCCGCTACCCAGTTGCCAGTGTCATGGATTTCCAGACCTATAACGTCAGTATCTTATTTTAGCGCTCTGAATGTAACCCAGCACCAAGCAAACAAATGAAAATCCACAGACAATAACCTGTGTAAGGCTGCTTTTTTCTTTGACATATTTTCCAAACCACAAGTTACCTTGCAGCTCCAATAGATGTTTGTAAGAGTAGCTCTGTCAACTATTTAAACAAGCAGAGCTATCAGTGTAATTTAATTTGACAAGCATGAAATAGAAATTGCAGCAATACTTTTTGCTATATTAACTTAAGTCTTTGACTAGGTTGGCCATGTGTTCTCTTTTATCTAAGACAATTGCCCGTTTGAAGGGCTGCCAAGGGATAGCCCTCTTTTTTGAAAGAGGGCTATATTTGAAGTACTATCATCTCTGTGTTACATATAAATATACATAACAGAGAAGATCAAGAACCTGATCCTGAAGTCACCTAGCCAAAATGACCATGTGTACAGCAGATTGCACAGCTTACAGGTCATTTGGTCAGTCTTCATCACCCAGGGAAGATGTACTATAGTTTTGTTGAAATTATCAAAAACTCTGATTTTGCATTTGTATATATGAATTTGCACATGCGATTTTATGTAAACTAGCATCTTCTTTTGTTAGATACACATGTTCTCTTGTGGTGTTATGTAAGTGGCTGCCCTATCTGAGTTACAAATAAAGAGAGTTTTGGGTTTCTCCAAAAGCTCTTTATCAGGCAAAGATGGTATAACACTTGGGGTTCAAACAGAATGCCAAAAATCTGTACCAAATGAGATGCTCCAGGCTTGTGTAGTCATGTCTCCCAGCTGTGCCAGAAAGACAAAACTGAGTTTTAGATTCTGCAAGATACATAGGTCGTGAAGGTGTCAGTTCACAATTTGTTATCTTTGCCTGATGGAAAATTCTGGAGAAGTCAAATACTCATCTTCTTTGTATATTTTTTTTGTGATGTGACCTAACAAACGGTATTACCCAATTTAGAACTTTGATTCTATGAATGGATTACATTTTTTGTGATGTGACCTAACAAACAGTATTACCCAACTTAGAACTTTGATTCTATGAATGGATTACACTTCTCCTTTTTGTGTCAAGTCATAACATAACCATCTTGGTTTGGTTGGTTCCACCTTGGCTCCAGAAAGCTGTGTAATCCACGACTCTGAGAGATATAGTGTCAGGTAGGGTTTGGGGGCAATCCAAAATGCAGGATCCTAAGGAGGTCAAGCACAGTCAGTCTGTCTAAAGGTTGGTGCTTTCTAGCAATAGAACTGTTAACATAAAGCCAAGGCCAAACATAGTGGAACAGCCCAAAGAGAGGCAGGGTACAAAAAGTAGTGTATTAGCTCATATCCAGAGATCAAGGACCTTGAGGACAATGGTTACTGACAGCAACTAACAACCCTCATCAGCCTGGTCCCCTAGCCTCAACCAAGTGGTTGGCCACTTTCCAGTGCTCCCTACTCCTAAAGACTCATTTATTCATGAGGCTCCTCTTAGTTAAAAGGAATCTTGTTCTCTTGAGCCTTGGGGAACACATTCCATTGACAGAATAGTGCCAGTGCCTGCCCTCTTCTGACCTCAGACACTTCTGGGACTGGAAATTTCTTTGACTTCCCCCTCCAGCATCAGAGGCAAGGTGGTGTACGGTGCCCCATCCACAGATTCCTTCAGGCCTTACACTGCAGACAAGCCTGGTGTACTTTCAGAAATGTCAAGAACCAATAGGTTCTTCAGACTCTGTAACGTGTTGATCATGATCCAACGGGCAACCATCCTGGGTGAGGCATGACACTAGCCCAGATACAGGTTGCCATGACCTCAGTGAGAAGGCCTTGTTATCCTGTGACAAAAGGTTCTAACTACACATAAATGCCATAGACTCATCTGCCTGGTCACATACAGTATGACGGATAGGTAGGAGGCCTGTTTTAGATGTTCAAGTGTCCTCATCTGCCTGGTCACATATGACGGACAGGTGGGAGGCCTGTTTTAGATGTTCAAGTGTCCTGCCATTATGTTAACTTTGCCCCTGATGAATAAAATATTATTAAAATGCTTAATTGTATTACAGTTTAGCATCATGTTGAACCAAGCTAATAGAAAGCTAATGAATGTATACTTTATTTTGTGTGTGTGTGTGTGTTTATCTGCTTGTAGGAATCCCATATACTTCCTGCAGAACTTGATGAAAAATGTGAAAAAATAAGTGAGAAACTGATGCATGTGGAAGATCAACTTCAGAAAGCAGTCTGCAGCTGTGATGAGGCCCTTGTTGATATCCTTTTTGAGATATTGTGTTGGCGCTATAGCTAAAGAACCAGGTTTCATTGACACAGTCCTGAAACTGTCATTGTGTGAATATGGCTAAAAAGAACTATGTTATGAAGAAGATGAGTGGTTCAGAACCATTAATTTTTCAGATGTTTGGGACTGCAATTCCCACAGTCCTTTACTACTGTCAATACTGTGTGTGGATTCCATGGATCGAAACCTGTAATAGGCAGAAGGCCAGCAGTTCTCTAATTCTGATGCTATAGTAGAGCAAAGGATGGTACCAAGAAGCCTTCATATGTTGGACTGGATGCGACTTCAAGTTCTTCAGCCAACATAGTTGATGGTGAAGGGAAGTGAAATTCAGTCCAACAGGGGAGTCATATATTCCTCACTCTTGTAGTGGACCATTGTTCTAAATACATTTTATAAGGATAAAATAAACAAACAATAATTCAGTAGATAAAAGCTTAGGGCAGACTGCACTTGGCTTCCTATATTTTTTTCTTATATTATAGTGCAGTGCCTTTTTTAATTTTATTTTTTGCCTATGAGAATTCCAGACATTCTCAATCAGTGTGATAGAAAAGGAACTTATCTCAAAAAGAATTTCAAAACCAGAGATTTGGGAGGAATTCTAATGGATAGGGATTCTTGTGTTTACCTTTCTTTTGAGGTCACTGAGGAGTATGAGTGACTGTCACGTCTTTCACTGTACGTAGAATCATTGCTGCTACAACCACCAGCTCTCCCCTCTACCCCACTTTCCACACATCAGTTAAAGTTCATGAAGATGCAGTTAGGTAACCTTTTCCATAGCGCTTTTTCAGTTCAAGACTTATGGGTAGCCAAGGAAGCTGCATAGGGATACTGAGATGATGAAAAAGCAGATACAAATGAAGCACCCTCAGGCAATGTTACGATTAGTTCATATATATGAACTAATCATAACTCTCTCTCTCTCTCTCTCTCTCTCTCTCTCTCTCTCTCTCTCTCTGTGTATGTGTGTGTGTGTGTGTGTGTGTGTGTGTGTGTGTGTGTGTATGTGTGTGTGTGTGCGTGCGCGCAAAACAATGCAGAAAGTGATGCAGAAGAATGGAGCTTCTTTCATGGGGAAATAAAACTTTTGAGAAACCAGAGGACAATTTATGGCACAGTAGAGTCTTCCCCCTTTTTCTTAAATTAGATATAACACTGCCCTCTCTTATACCTACTACAGCAAGTATAGGGAAAGAGCTACGTATACTATAAGCATTTGCAATAGAGACAAAACTATCTGCAGTGCTCCTTCAAAAATGTACCAATTGGAATGCCTGGAAGAGGTGCTGAACCCTAAAGAATGACAACATGTGCCGAGCTAAAATTTCTCAGAAGGCATTTTTTCCTGAGAAGCATTCTGAGCTTTTCTTTTTATTCCCTCCCTCCTTGGAAACAGAAGGCCACATGAAGAATTTTTTCTAAAATATCTCAACTTTTTGAGCAGGTTGTGTGCCTGTCTTCCTGCCACCACCATCACAGTACCTTAGAATGACACTTGGTAAAGGGCATTCCATAAAAAACAAAATGATGAGGAGGGAGAGAACAAAGTTGTGCTACTACCACAGCTTATGGTGAGTCCTACCTCTGAGGAATTATTGGAGAATAACTCCTTCCCCTGGAGAAATTCAGTGAAATTATCCCTCTAGTTTCTCTTCTCCCAAACAGGGTGGAGAATTTCAAAAGGTCATTTGTACTCAGCTATGTTTTCCGGAGTTCTCTGTCAGTCCCCTCATTTAGTGCTAAATTATCAAATGGATATCATGGAACACTTGTGTGCAGACAAGCCCCCAGAGAATAGCCAGTGAACCATTTATGTCATGCTCACTGAAACTGAGAATTGTCTTTGCCTTGATCCAAAATTAGATCGGATTGACTAAGATATATTTTTTCATGTGTTCCATGAAAAAGTATGTTTAGCGTCTTTCATGCAATTTGTGCCGTATGCCAATGCAGGAGAGAACACAGAATGGAAAATGAAGACACATTCTTTCTAATGTAAGTGTTATATTCAATTTAGGAGCATGTAAACAAGCAAAGGGACGTGGTGGCGCTGTGGGTTAAACCGCAGAAACCTCTGTGCTGCAAGGTCAGTAGACCAGCAGTCATAACATCGAATCCGTGCAACGGAGTTCCCGCCGCTTGTCCCAGCTCCTGCCAACCTAGCAGTTCGAAAGCATGTAAATGCAAGTAGATAAATAGGTACCACCTCGGTGGGAAAGTAAGCAGCGTTCCATGTCTAGTCACGCTGGCCACGTGACCATGGAAACTGTCTATGGACAAATGCTGGCTCTATGGCTTGGAGACGGCGATGAGCACCGCGCCCTAATGTAATGTCAAGGGGAACCTTTACCTAAACAAGCAAATGAGGTTGTTCTAATCTGTCGGGATCTGCAGATGAAGCCTTGTTGTAGGGATCTGCAGATGAAACCTAGTTGTCGGGATCTGCAGATGAAGCCTTGTTGTAGGGATCTGCAGATGAAGTCTAGTTGTAGGGATCTGCAGATGAAGCCTTTCCCCCCTCTTGACCAGCAAGGAGAAAGGAAGAGGCGAGCACTCGAGTGTGTGTTTCAGGGCGGGATCCAGATGAACAAAACAGCATGCTGTGTAGCATGCTGTTCAGTGGGAAATCCTCTCTATCCGTCGCCGCGCCCCCTTTTATTGTTCTCTACTACCTTTGCACTAGTTAACCAGTGACCATTCTAAACACAGGCAGGTAATATTCTGAATACACAAGTATGGTAAACAGAGGGGCTGGTAAACAGAGGCACGTAAATCCTAAATACACAAGCAGGGTAAACATTCCTGAATACAGAGCAGGGTAAACAGAGACAGATAACACTTTAAATACACAAGTAAGTTGATACAATTTACCCAAAGACAGATAATTATCCTAGATACCAAAGCAGGTTAATGAATCATCCTTACTGGAAGCAACCACACTGTATACGTGATTTGCGCGCTTAGCACAATGTCTGCTATTGCCACAGATACATACATTGTAAAAACATACAATTTCCCCACACTAATCTATACTGCAATGGTTGCAATACCACTGTAGAAGATATCTATGGGTACATAGCCACTTTTCACATGTTCAGCTAAACATATGGTTGACAGAGAGCAGGGATGTACATGCCATTTCCATTCCTGACTTCCATGCATTCAGCAGAATATATTTTAACATGTATAGTATATGCTCCTCGCCATGGTTTCTTACCCCATGCTAAATTCTCTACGTACATACAGTTATGTGTGTGCCATCAAGTCACATTTGAATTATAGCAAGCCAAATAGGGGTTTCAAAGTATGAGAGACATTAAAGGAGTGGTTTTACCAGTGCCAACCCACAAGACGTTTCCATGGCCAAACCCTCCATAGCAACTAGTCCATCACTGCAATCACTGTCCATTTCACCACACTGGCTCTATGCATAGAAGGATATACACAATCACCAGAATGTGAGCAGTGGGATGATGTACAGTATATAACCTCAGCCTTTCTTGCTGTGTTACATTGCAAAGAAATCAGACATCTACACTAACTAAAATAATCAAGTTAAAGGTAAAGGTTCCCCTTGACAATTTTTGTCCAGTCGTGTTTGACTCTAGGGGTGGTCCTCATTCCCGTTTCCAAGCCATAGAGCCAGCATTTGTCCAAAGACAATCTTCCATGGTCACATGGCCAGTGCAACTTAGACACAGAACGCTGTTACCTTCCCACCAAAGTGGTCCCTATTTATCTACTTGCATTTGCATGCTTTTGAACTGCTACGTTGGCGGGAGCTGGGACAAGCGACGGGTGCTCACTCCGTCACATGGATTCGATCTTACAGCTGAAGATCTAAAGACCTTACAGCACAGAGGCTTCTGCAGTTTAACCCACAGTGCCACCACGTCCCCAAGACCACAATCATAGGCTGCAATCAAATACTTATGTAGTGAATTCAGTGGCCAAAGTCCTGTTACTTAATGTCGCAAATCAGAATAGAGTAGGCCCATTGAATTAATAAGGATTTGGCAAGTCAAGCCTACCATTCCATTGATTCAAATGGGCCTACTCTAACTGTAACATACGATGCTAAAGTAAGTTTTAGTTTGAGAAGGTCCATTTGAATCAATGGAACTTACAGAAGATTTGACTCAACAAATCCCCACTGATTCAATGGGCATACTCTAATGCAATTTATTATTCTTAGCAACAGGTATTTAAGCAATGTTTTGACTTCAAAGTAGCTATGTATAGGATTACACTGTTGGTGAATTATTATCGGCAGCCATATCTTAGCATATATTTTTCATTTAAAATACTCAGTAACTATTTATTATGAGATATTACCTTGGATTTTTTTCCTGTGGACAATGCTGTATGGTGCAAACAGCTATAACAAGGACACAGTTTGATTCTCTTCTGGATAAAATCTTTTGAATGAGGAAGCAGAAGGAATTAATAGGCTGCTGAAACCAAGTGGAATTGAGCTAAAACTTGCTGATTTTTCATGCCATTCTCTGTTAGACCGATGTTAATGGAATGGTGCTAAATGAAAAAAGAAGAGGAATCATTGTTGTCTTTTTCTCCCAGGATTCTTTCACAGGTAATTTGCGTCTCCCAGGACAGATCTTGCTTAAATTAGATTCATGCAGGAATGTAGAAGAAGGTAGGCAAAACAAGAGGAGGAAAAGTTGTGGTGGTGGGGAAAGCAAAGGATTGGAAAGAATATGGTTAGGAAACAAAAGGCAGGAAAAGACATATGTAATTTGTAATCAAATCCTGTTTCAAAGACTCAGGACAGATTTAGAGCTTGGAAATGTTACTAAAAAGTTAATGCAGTGTTCATTAGCATTACACACATGTACTAAGTAAAGCAATGTGTTACTAACATGTTACTGCCAATGTTATGTTAAAATCAGCCAACTGCCCCCCCATACAACCCCTTCCATTGCATTTTTCTTTTACTGAGCAGATTTT